CCCCCCCCCCTCCCCTCCCTCTGCGATTCCCCCCTCCCCCGTGTTTCACTGTTCACCGAATTGGGAAAACCCTCACAGCCGTCACGTCCGGCCACCTCAGCCCTCGAGACCGGTCCCGTTCGACTCGTCGTGAAGCCCCGATCAAAACCCATCTGTTATCCCGACTGGAAAGCTCGAAGTCCGGCCACGATATTGACTGGTTCAAACCGGAGGTTTTCGCGCTATCGCACCGCCGTCTCCTCCGTCCATTTCCGGTGAACCAGGTGAGGTTTCTTCTTCTTTTTACGTGCTCTAGCTGTTTTTGGGGTTAGATTAGAACGATTTTGAAGTTTGGAAGTTGATTTTGGAAGTTAGGTTTTGGCCGGTTTTCAATTTGAAATTCCGGCCAGTTCCCGTGCGAATTGGACCTCGTGGTAGTTGAATAAAGTGATCTTGACCTTGAGAAGAAGCTAGGGTAGGAAGGGTGAGTGTTGGTGTGGAGATTTTCCGTCGCCGGAAATTTCTCTACACACCCACGCGCTGCCGGCGCGTGTGGCGGCGCGTGGGCAAGGCTGGTGAAGTTGCTTTTCATCCTGACGAGATCCTTAGGTTGTCAGTGCGTAGGACTTTGCGGATCTCAATTTGGATGTTGTTTGACTATCGAACGGAGGATTGGAAGCGATTTCCAAACCTGTAACCGGACCTTAGGATATCCTATTGGACGTACACGCACCGGGAACTTGGGGATTTAAGTATTCTCTTTTGTGAAGTCCCGTTTCGAAGTGTATTATATTAATCAAGGGTTCGTATCTCGAAATAGGTACTTCGGTCGATCATTCGCAGCAGGCAGGACCCTCTCGGGGCCGGGCAGCGTGGGATTACCTGTGAGTGGACTTTGTTTTCAAGCATTTGCATGGTTTTATTGATAAAAGATTTGTGCATTTGTTTTTAAATGGTAAATGTGATTTATTAAGTATTGAGTTGATGGATTTGGATATTCATATACGTATTGGCAATATATTTTGGGTATGGCTATATTTGAGTATTATAGATATGTTTATATATGGATTTTGGGATATCTGTCTATATTGCCTATGTATAGAGTATGAGGAGTTGTTGTTGTGAGATTGTGGAAAGATATGAGTTTGAGGGATGGTTGTGAGATGTATGAGTATGTTAGGTGAGTACCATTCCCTGGTTACTAGGCTTCCCACACA